ATGAATGAAAGAAAGAAAGAGAAAATAGAAGTGTTTAACGTCTGTTTCGGTGAAATGGAAAAAAAATCAATTTTAAATCTTTTAATTTCTATCCACTTCTTAAAATACAGAATAAAATTCATGTTTATGATTGTCATTGCAAGGTTTTCTTAAAGTTGTTAAGCTAAAATATTTAACGATGCGATAGGGGAATTTATACGGATATTTTATTGACGTAGAACTCGCTATGAGCTTATTCAAACATTAATTTAAAAATTAGGAGTTACGAGCAGAATGGCACAGCGTTGCCCGTGCTTGATTCAAAAATCGTACGACTCATACAGCAATCGCTATCACTTGACTTAAAATATTTTTGCCCTCCCTTGCCTTTAAAGGAGTGCCCTTTGCCGTGCTGATGTTGCTACATGCCTTATTTCTTGCCTATTTCACACTGTGAATTTTGTCTAAGCTCTATACTAAACATTAAATCTGTTACAAAAAAAGAACTAAACAAAATGAACACAAAACGATCAGCTTTAAAAAAGGACTCGTAACTGGAAAAACCGAATGAAAAAAGAATCTTAACAACCAATACTTTTTCACACCCAACCCACTTCTACGGAATCAGAATCAACGTTGAGTTTAAGCAAACGAATGAGCCAATTGGAGTAAAGTGCCATGCAGATTTAAATTTTTTCCACTTGTGACGAATGCAGCTGTCAATTTTTTTTTGCATTCTAGGATGCTAGGTAACATTCGTGTCAGTCAGCTGTTGGCTTTCACGCTGGCCAATAGAATCTTCCTGCCTATTCGTGGCAGCCAGCTATAGGCTCTCACTCTGGCCAGTACAAAATGGTCGCAAACTACATGAAAAGTGCCGTAGAAGCATGAAGAAATCGATTATTTCCACTATCGATGGGAGTTGGGAAATACAAAGTCGGTCTTGGCCTTCCCGCTAACTTGGAGCATGTACATGTAAATTTTGGTGCAAATCCGTCGAAAATTGTAGCCGTGCATTCGTTACACACACACACACACACACACACACACACACACACACATCCTGCATTTTATAGATAGAGATCAGAATATTAAAGTAAGGAAACCATGACATTTTCACGGGTCAAAACTACTACTACTACTACTACTACTACTACTGCTATTACTATTACTACTACTAATAATAATAAAATGGAGTCTCAAATGGGTGAAGAAATGCAAGTAAAGCATAATACACCGACTTAAGCTGCAAAATACTTAAAAAAGAAAGCAAAGTCAAATGCAAGCGAACAGATACAGAAACGATGTCAAGATAAACCACTCCACAGTCAATACTCTGCCCGTACCAATGTAGACAAACATCGTACCTTTCAGTGGCTATGTTGTGCAGGATTAAAAGCTGACAGAGTAGGCCAGTATTTGCATTGGAAAATATGCAACTTTTACCCCATAAAATTTAACGATTCTGCTTTGATCACAAAAGAGGGGAAAAGATATTTCTTGTTTTCACTTAGAAAATGAATAAAAAAAAAAGAATGAAAGAAAGAAAGAAAAGAAAAGAAAAGAAAAGAAAAGAAGGGAAGATAGAAATGTTTAACGTCTCCTGCGAATCCCTCATAAATAATAGACTATTCCGTTTTCATTGAGTAGAAAAACGACATGAATGACTGAAAGAAAGAAATGTAGAAGTGTTTAACGTCTGTTTTGGTTAAATACATTTTACAGTTTTTTTTTTTTTTTATAGTTACATTTTCTTTAACATTTCAGATCCGAACAGAGCAAGTTTAGATTCCACATTTGACAGTCTGAGTCATAAAAGATTTGCGAATAAAGATTCACCAGAATAATAAATAATAAAAGAAATTTTCACGGCTTAAAAGTAATAATAATAATAATAATAATAATAATAATAATAATAATAATATTATGGCCACATTTCAAAAATTAACATGAAATGTGGCCATAACAACACACCACGACCTGCCTTAGGTCTTTCCGCAGACTTGGTAGGTAGTGTGTCCATAGCAGAAATCGAATGATGATGATGATAATAATAATAATAATAATAATAATAATACTACTACTACTATGGAGTTTCAAATGGGTGAAGAACTTCAAGTAAAGCATAGTACACCAACTGCAGCTGCAAAATACTTAAAAAAGGAAGCAAAGGCAAATGCAAGCGAATAGATATAGAAACGCTGGTAAGCTAAACCATTTCACGGTCAATACTCTGTCCGTACAAAACAAGCTGATGTAGACAAACCCCATAACCATCAGTGGCTAAGTAGTGTAGGGTTAAAAGCTGAAACCGAGGATTTTATTCTTGCTGCACAGGTTCAATGTTTGCAAAATAGAAATTACGAAGTACGCATACTGAAAAATTATGTTAGCCCAAAATTCAGATTCTGTGATAAATATCCAGAAAGAATTGACCATCTTGTATTAGGTTGCAACGTATTGGCACCCACTGAATATAAAACCCGGCATGACAGAGTAGGCCAATATCTGCATTGGAAAATATGCAACTTTTACAGAAAGGGAACCGTCAGAAATTGTTATGAACACCACATAGACCCGGTTACGGAGATATAGCAGACCCGGTTACGGATATATAGCGGACCCGGTTACGGAGATATAGCGGACCAGGTTACGGAGGTATAGCGGGCCCGGTTACGGAAATATAGCGGACCCGTTTACGGAGATATAGCGGACCCGGTTACGGAAATATAGCGGACCCAGTTACGGAGATAAAGCAGACCCGGTTACGGATATATAGCGGACCCGGTTACGGAGATATAGCAGACCCGGTTACGGAAATATAGCGGACCCGGTTACGGATTTATAGCGGACCCGGTTACGGATATATAGCGGACGCGGTTATGGAGATATAGCGGACGCGGTTATGGAGATATAGCGGACCCGGTTACGGAGATATAGCGGACCCGGTTACGGAGATATATATCTCCCTGTAGAGATTGCCACGCTTCAATATCTTTCTTGACTTCTATATTTTACCATTTTTGTCACGTATTTTTAGAGAATCTTGACTACTTCTCCGCAAACCCCAAGAATTAAATCCTGCATCCATCGATTAAGACTCAAGGTTCTGTGGATTTTCACCTTCACTTCAGACCTCAAATAGGATTCATATATAAACCTATTTTGTGGAATGGATTCCCACGTGGGTGCTTCCTTGAAGACTTCAGTCTTCTTCATGTCATTATCAATCCTCCTTACCCTCGTAATATTCGCTCTCATTAAAATCACACGCCTTATTTATCACAGCTATTTTAATAGTAACACTCTACCTTGAGTGGCGCTCGTGCATGTATCATCTGAATTCTGCGGTTGCCTAATAAAAAAGCGGCACATTTATTATCCCTGTTTCAGGAACAATTGACCTTGAATAGCCTTGAATAAATTTCTTGAATATTCATAAAGTTACTGCTTCCTGGTTTGACTTTACCACTTTTTTTACTGGACACCCTGTAGGTTAGTTTTAAAAGATAGGTAATATTTACCTATATTAATATATTTGTCGGTAATATTTACCGATATTAATATATTTGTCGGAGCTAATGCCTCCTGGCTATCACACTTACAACTTTGTGTTGAAAATTCAGGCAAAGAGTGTGAACATCTTCGATAATTGTTCAGTTTATGCATGGATCAGGATCTATCTATCTATCTATCTATCTATCTATCTATCTATCTATCTATCTATCTCATCTCTCTCTCTCTCTCTCTCTCTCTCTCTCTCTATATATATATATATATATATATATATATATAATATATATATATATATATATATATATATATATATATATATATATATAAAACAGAGGATGCCTGAGTGTCTGTCACTCTGTCTGTGTGATCATTTTTCACTCGAGATCCATCCAACCGATTTTTATCATACTTGGCATATATATTGTACAATGTAAGAGAGAGGTAATTAGCGTAAAAAATCGATAATTTAAAAAAAATCAATAAAGCCGATTAAAAATCGATGAAACTTTTTTCCCCGATTTCGTTCAAACTCAGTATGTAGGTTACTTACATCATGATGAACTCAACGATATCTCATTTTTATTTCTACGCCAATGCGTTTAGCAAAAAGCCGCGAAAAACGAAAAATCTTTTTCAAGGCAAATCTTAAACTAAAAACTCCCTCAATTTTCAAGCAATCTAAATACAAACTTCACTGAATTGTAGCCAACAAAAAGTTGATTGTTTAACAGTCATTTAACAGTCATAGAGTGAAAACCCGCGTAAATAGCGAAAAATGGCGATTTTTACTGGTTTCTTTCTTATTTTTTGTTGAATCATCAACCAATTTTCATCAAACTTAACACTTGCTTTATAAGTGTATCCTCTTTTACATCCCTAGTAGCTCACTGACAAATTGAATTTCAAAAACTCTAAAATAATTGTGGCCTGAATTGGGTCTTCATGTTTTACCACTTCATGTCCTTGGTTAACTTCGATTGAATAAATATAGACTAATTCTGTTATTATCAGTAACTGCATTAATTCAAAATGTTTTTTTTTATGAAAGTACTTTAAAGTAATAGAAGAAGATAAACTTTGTTACATCTAAACATGATGCAGTTTTTGCTCCATTTTAATTGAACGTTTTTTTTGATCGACCAGCTGGGTATGCCTGTTAGTAGCTAAATAAATTTCTTTCTGAATTTACCGTTTTTTACTGGGCAACCTGTAGCATACAAAATAAAAGGAGTGTTTAATCGAAAAATAAAATTAAAAGCACGTACACGAAACATCTCGGCGTAAATTCTTAACAAAAATCTTAGCAGACGACAACGAATACCGATTTGGCAAAATTTCAGCAGAAAAAAAAAATGAACTTAAATGTTAACCGTATTCTTAATACAGGATGAATTAGTCAAACGAACGAGTTGTCAGCGAACATACCGCTTTCCCTTTCATGTTTTCAATCTTACGACTGTCCTTGCGTTGTGTTGTATGAGTTCAAAACTTTCTGACATGTTGCGATGACGTCATTTGACCTGTAAACTGTTTCTTTCTCTTCGGTGCATTAGCATCGCCCTGTGTCTTGTAAATGTTTTTTCTTTTCTTCTTCTGTCTTATTAATGGCTTCTGACATTGACATATATCGGTCTGCAGCTGGAGGATTTTCGTTCTTGCATTATCTGAACAGGTTTAGTTTAACCTCAGTGACCATTCGGTTTATACCTAGCCTTACACCTGTTATTTTTAAAGGTTCAACATGATTCATCTTTCTTTTAGCTGGAGACATTCTGTGAAATGTTTGCTTATAATATTGTACTTTTTTTTGAAAATCAAGGCGAATTAATTATTTGCTGCTTGATCCGAATTTATGTGATGAGGAGTTATCATTATTTACACTATTTATATTCGGACTATTATCATCATCTTTGTTGTTCTTATCCCCAGATTGCTTTCTGTCTGAATTTATGTGATGAGGCGTTATAATTATTTACACTATTTATATTCGGACTATTATCATCATCTTTGTTGTTCTTATCCCCAGATTGCTTTCTGTCTGAATTTATGTGATGAGGAGTTATCATTATTTACACTATTTATATTCGGACTATTATCATCATCTTTGTTGTTCTTATCCCCAGATTGCCTTCTGTCTGAATTTATGTGATGAGGAGTTATCATTATTTACACTATTTATATTCGGACTATTATCCTCATCTTTGTTGTTCTTATCCCCAGATTGCTTTCTGTCTGAATTTATGTGATGAGGAGTTATCATTATTTACACTATTTATATTCGGACTATTATCCTTATCTTTGTTGTTCTTATCCCCAGATTGCCTTCTGTCTGAATTTATGTGATGAGGAGTTATCATTATTTACACTATTTATATTCGGACTATTATCATCATCTTTGTTGTTCTTATCCCCAGATTGCCTTCTGTCTGAATTTATGTGATGAGGAGTTATCATTATTTACACTATTTATATTCGGACTATTATCCTCATCTTTGTTGTTCTTATCCCCAGATTGCCTTCTGTCTGAATTTATGTGATGAGGAGTTATCATTATTTACACTATTTATATTCGGACTATTATCATCATCTTTGTTGTTCTTATCCCCAGATTGCCTTCTGTCTGAATTTATGTGATGAGGAGTTATCATTATTTACACTATTTATATTCGGACTATTATCCTCATCTTTGTTGTTCTTATCATCTTATCGGCTTCTGTCTGAATTTCTGGGATGGAGTTATCATTATTTGCATTATTTATAGTCAGACTAAGAGCCTTCTCTTTGTTTGGGTGTCTACCTGTATACAGTGAAGAGGATTCAGAAAGAGTTGGATGAGTCTAATTGTGATTTCTATGGCGTTTGGAGTGATCACTGGGGATGGCGTCATTGTGCCTCTATTCATTTTCCCACAGGGTCTCAAATTTAACACGGATGCTTACATCAAGTACCTTGAGTAGGTAGTGCTGACCTGGGTCAAGAGTTTGCGCGCTGAAAGAATCTGTATCTAACAACGGACCTCCAAGCAGGAGAAAACAATCATGGCTGTCAGACAAGTTCTGCGACTAGATCACCCCTAAACTGCAACCGTCTTGATTATTACGTGTGAAGCGCAGTTGAGTGAGAGACCCACACAGCTCCTTGTAACACCAAAAATGAACTGAAGCCAAGGATTATGGCATCATTCACCAACTTAAACACGGAAACCGCCCAGAAGACATGCAGGAAATTCCGAAGTTGTCTGGAGGCCGTGGTTGAAGCCAGTGGCGATTTTATTGAACAAATTTACTCTTTAGTATTTCAAGATATTTTTTGTGTAATTTTATACATAGAAACATAAACAATAACATTAATATTTTTGATAAAAATCAGATGAACGAAAATTATAAACAGGATGAATGCAGAATTAAGAACGTTATAAAAAAGTGCATAACACCAGTTGACAATAGCAAAAAAATTAGATTAATTATTTAAGATAGAAAATTTAAATCCTCTAACCTTATAGTTAAAAATAATAATTCACCTTCTAGAACAAAATTAAATAGGGCAAATATTATTTACGAATTCAGAGGAATTGTATTACTCAACAATCAACTTTCGTAAATAATTATATAGGCCACACTACAGCATGTTTAACACGCAGACTAACTTTACACCTTTCTGACTATAGCTCAATTAGATCTCATTTAAAATATTCATGGAAACCTACCGGACACTATTCGGAACATACTTGTCGACAACACTAATATAATAGCATCATCTACATGCAAAAAGAAAAAGACTAAAAATGAAAGCCTCATTAAAAATACATTTGTGGATCTTCTTCTTCTTCTTCTTCTTCTTCTTCTTCTTCTTCTTCTTCTTCTTCTTCTTCTTCTTCTTCTTCATTTGGACTGGGAACAAACCAACCCTTAATAATATTGATTTTGAACATGGACGTAATATCTTGACCGTGTTTTGAAACAAAAAATGAAAACATTTGATAACACATATATAAAACAAACTATTTCTAATTTTAACAGTTAAAATATAATCCTTTAAAATGGCTAAATGTATAGCCGAAAGCGCTCGGATAAAAAGAACATTCGGACAGTTTTTATATAATTTATCAGAAAAAAAATATTAGATCGCATGACTAATTTTATAAAAAAAAGTAAATAAAAGCACCTTGTCTGTCATTTTTAATGAAATGTGCATGAAAGAAGGATTGCTGCCTAAATACACACACACACACACACACACACACACACACACACATATATATATATATATATATATCAAAATTTCCTTTCAGATAATTTTCCCAAGAACTTTCAATCTCATTTGAGACCAATTTCGAGAGCGGGGGTAGGAAAATATATGTGGATGTGTATACAGTAGCTACCTAAATTCAAAATATTTTTTCACTGTTAATTTACAGCGTCTCAATTTCAAAATTTTCAGTTATACAAGTAAGAAAGTTTTGTAATTTAATATATGAATTATTATATTTTATATATATATATATATATATATATATATATATATATATATTATAGTTGTAAACTTAATAGCGATTAAGTTTTGATTTTGAAATTAGAAGTTTTTAATTTTAATATTAAATTTTATCATTTAATTTAGTAATTATTGGTTGGAATAAATTCTTTTTTAATACTACCCATATTTTAAACATCTGAATAGCTATTATAACATGATTTCGTTGTCAAGCTTTTTGAATTTTCCTATACTTGTGTTTTGATTGGTCAATCTAGCTTTTGTAACAACGTTTTCCCCTTGTGAAGGATTGTTAATTGTTGAAACTTTTAAAATCATTTATTTTACACTCAACATCATCACTTGATAAGACACCGAGGTTGTTGAAACGAAATGGCTATTTTTGTAGTGATTTTATAACATATTTATGTTATAAATTTTTTAAAAATAAATAATTATATAATTATATATATATATATATATATATATATATATATATATATATATATATATATATATTATTTGTGGGTGTCTGGTTTGACTATGCAGACAAGGTAAATCTTTTTGAAAAATGAATCACTAGTCCATTGACCATTATCGTTGTTTTTGTTGTTGTTTTTCTTCTTCTTCTTCTTCTTCTTCTTCTTCTTATTATTATTATTATTATTATTATTATTATTATTATTATTATTATTACTTTACACCTTAATATAGATTACTTGACAGACTATAATCATTACTATATTTTAGACTGTTAATTTGAACCTTTCATCTCTCTCGACCTAAACAGCAAACGTCTAAACTTTAAGCGCACGTTCAGATCCATGTTTAAAAATGGCTTTGAGCAAGTGAAGCCTGTGGATCTTGGCCACGACCACTTTTCTTCGAATATTTTGCTTCTGAATCACAAACAAAGCGACTGTACCAAATGACAGAATTCACATCACTTGAGGACATTTAAAAGCAACAACAATTAAAACTCGTAGCAGAAAAATGACATAATGAAGAAATTGATATTCCACGCCACTTCAAATAAAAGGTTAAGAAGACAGCCTCCATTTGGACTGGAAAGAGAGATTTGTTAGTGAACTTAAGAAACCCATGTTCATCTCTCTCTCTCTCACTCTCTCTCTCTCTCTCTGATCTGTTGTTTTAATAGAAAAAATATCTATCTATCTATCTATCTATCTATCTATCTATCTATCTATCTTGGATCTGTTGTATTAATAGAAAAAATATTCTCCCCATCTATCTATCTATCTATCTATCTATCTTGGATCTGTTTTAATAGAAAACAAATATTCATATCTATCTATCTATCTATCTATCTATCTATCTATCTTGGATTTGTTGTATTAATAGAAAAATCAAAATCAATCTATCTATCTATCTATCTATCTTGGATCTGTTGTTTTAACAGAAAAAATATCCTCTCTCTCTCTCTCTCTCTCTCTCTCTCTCTGTGTGTCTTGGATCAGTTGTTTTAATAGAAAAAAGTTGTCTATCTATCTATCTATCTATCTTGGATCTGTTGTTTTAACAAAAAATATCCTCTCTCTCTCTCTCTCTCTCTCTTTTTCTTGGATCAGTTGTTTTAATAGAAAAATATCAATCTATCTATCTATCTATCTATCTATCTTGGATCTGTTGTATTAATAGAAAAAATATTCTCCCCATATATCTATCTATCTATGTATCTTGGATCTGTTTTAATAGAAAACAAATATTCATATCTATCTATCTATCTTGGATCTGTTGCATTAATAGAAAAATCAATCAATCTATCTATCCATCTTGGATCTGTTGTTTTAACAGAAAAATATCCTCTCTCTCTCTCACTCTCTTTCTCTCTCTCTGTCTCTCTTGGATCAGTTGTTTTAATAGAAAAAGTTATCTATCTATCTATCTATCTATCTATCTATCTATCTTTGATCTGTTTTTTTTTTTAACAGAAAATATTATTCATTTTAATCGAAAATGGTAATGGCGGGTCGATGACTTATATGGAAACGACTTATATTAATATTATCATTACTTGCAGTAAATTTCGTTGTAATTCTTGTCATCATGTCTCAACTTATGATAGACATCAAGGTTTTTTTTATTGAATTAATAGCCAGAGATAATATTAGCTTAGCTAATTCAGTCTGTTCATTTCTATGTATCTATGCTTTATTTTGTAAATAAGTGGTGAAGAAGAAGAAAAAGAAGAAGATTGCTTCATTTGTTTGTACAGTTTATCAACCTTTTGTAGAAAACCAGAAAATATATTTTAGTGTGGAAAATGGTAATTTTACTAATACAGGTCCTACTAATTAACCCATAGAAAGGGGTAGAATAAGTGGACTCATACCTTTCTGATGTGGGGCCAAAGTTGGGACCACAGAAGTAAAATACGGAACACGGATTAGATGTAAGAAAGATATATTAACAACAGGTTACAGAGATAGTGTAAGCGGAGCTTACTATATGTTAGTGTCCAATAGTGGTAGTTGTGCGAGACTCTCACTGTCACTCTCTGTGTCACTCTCTAGAGTGCTATGTCGTCTACTTAATATAGGCCTGGAAGAGTCTATTGTGTAGGTAGTTTCCGGTCTCACAATAACCCCCTTCCAAAGAGTTTTCTTTTTGAAAAGGAGAGAAAAAATAAAACTGTTAATACTTTTTACTCTTGGGATTTACGTCGAATTTTTTTTTTTATGGAGTGAATGACTTCATCCTCCCGAGACTCCTTTTTATGTCGGTCAAAGTAACTGAGAGCTCTCTTATGGTACTCGCGATCATGTTTTTGATTGGACTTCTTTTTTACGTACACCGTAGGTGCTGCCCACTGGCTGAAATCTGTTTTTGACAGAATACCTGCTTGTTCGAGTCTATCTAACTCTTTTTTTGCTTTGCTCTAGAGCAGCGAAAGGGATATTCCGTTACTTTTTGAATACCGGTTGTGCACCGTCCTTCACCTTAAACTTAGCTTTCATTTTAGTACATTTCCCAAGGCCGCCAGAAAAAAACCTGGGGAAATTGTTGTTTTAGTTCCTTTTTTAGATTTACCAAATTGGACGTTGTACTTTGTATCTTGCGACAAAATGTGCTCATTGGGCAATCCCAAAGATTGAATTTTTCTATCCAATCAGTTCCAAATAAGTTATCTGAAGTTTTCAATACATAGGCTTTGAGCTTTTTGGTAACTCTATTTAGTGTTACTGTAAGTATTACCTCGCCTAAAATGTTAATCTTTTCGCCAGTTACGGATTTTGCTGTTTTATCCGTTTTTTTTAATAAGATCAAACATTCAATTTTCGCCAAGTACGCCAGTTAATGGTTGAAAGATCGGAATCCGAGTCAAGCTGAATTTAATGGAATTATTGAAAATATCCACAGTTACATATTTCCTTAAATTCCTATTGGCAATATCGTCAGATTGAGCTTGCCTAATTTAATTTTTGGTTGTCTCGTTCTGTTGGCGTACCAGCACGAAGTTAAAGTATGACCACTTTTATTTGCAATTTTTTGTTCTTAACTGGACAGAATTTCATCCAATGCCATTTACCACAATGGTAACATGGTCCGGGCGGTTTCTATTTGGCTTTTGGTTACTGCGGAATTTAGGACATGAGATTTGCCTTTTGTCTTTTTCAGGGGAATAGGAGGTAGACTTGCTTCTGATTTAATAATCTGAGTCACACCTGATTCCTCGATAGTGTTTGAGTCACGCTTTACAGATATTACTCTTTGACAGTCCTCTGCCAATTTTTGAAGAGTCAATCCTTGTTCGTTCTTAAGCTTGGTCAGTACCCGTCGTCTGACTTCGGCGTCTTCTGCTGATACTAGACCTTGTGCGAAAACTAAGCACTTAAAATCATCGGCAGTCAGTTCGGCTAGTTTAAAATCATTACAGAGCTTGTTTTCCGATGCTGCAAACGTTAGAAAATCTTGCTGGTTGTCTTTGACTGTGTTCAAGCATTTCCAACGTTTGTGAAACAAGGCTGTGTTAGGCCCGAATAGTTCCGATAGGAGCTTAATAGTCTCTGAAAAATCCAAGTCGGTCGTTTTCTTGGGTAGTATGAAGTCTACGAACCTACTATGTTCTGTAGTTCCCAGTTTTCTCAATAGTAGACGTACCTTCTTTTTACTGGACCATTGTTCACAGTCTACGTTGAAAATATCTTCGTAGAGCCTGTAAAGAGAGTCGAACGTTTTGTCGTTCTCTGGTACGTATTCAAAGGTTTCGATTAAATTGTTGATTGTACTCTGGGAGAATATTGTATCTTTTTCAGAGTTTGAGCCTTTTAATGCATTTACGAGTAATTCTTCAAGTTGTTTCTGTTGTAGTTCAGCATTCTGAAGCGTAATTCGTTGGAATTCCATTTGTTGTTTATGTAATTCCAAAAATAGTTGTTGTTGTCTTTCTTCTGATTTTTGTTGCTGATCCAAATTTAGTTTTAACATTTGGTCAACTGCTTTTTTGAAAATCTTCCATATTTAAAAATGACAGCGCTTTTTTGTTGCTTTGAAACACGTGTACTAAGAGGAGGTACACAAAAAAATCTTGATAGATTTTTGTTCTTTTTTTTTCTTTTACAGAAAAAAATATGGACAGACAATAGTTAAACTAAACTAAATTATGTGTTTAGCTTTTTTTCCCCGTGGTTCCGTTAATTTTAACGTAATTGTATAAATCTTCACCTCACTTATGTATTTTTTTTTATATAGAGGTACAAAAAGAGAAAACTCACCTCAGTGAATTTGAGGGGAGAATAATTTTATGCACGAGTTCACCTCAGTTACATAAAAAAAAATTAGATAGTTTTTCTTTTCGAAAACTTGAGTCTTATGGTAGTACTTCCGCTCTTGCATTGTCATTTGGACAGACTTTAATATTCCGTAGATGTCGAATCGCTAGTTCGTCACTGATGTTTGGTATTGGAATATATGTAGACGGTGGGCGTTTAGCTTTTAAATCGCTAATGTAGTAATACCAGCTTAATTTCTCGTACAACACTACTGTGGGAACGCCTGGAGTTCCTGTGTATTTTTCGAGTACTCCGTCGCTATTGATATAGTGAGAACGAAATTCTCGAATTTTTCTGTCGCCACTGATGTGGGACTGGCAAAGTATTGCGGTTTTCGACGTGAATGCGTTTCTCGAATTCTTCGTCGACACAGATGTGGGATTGCTAAGGTATTTAGGTTTCGCCGTGAGTGCGTTTCTCGAATCCTCGTCGCCACTAATATGGTGCCAAAGTTGGGACCACAGAAGTAAAACACTGAACACGGATTAGATGTAAGAAAGATATATTAACAACAGGTTACAGAGATAGTGTAAGCGGGGCTTACTATAAGTTAGTGTCCAACACTGGTAGTCGTACGAGACTCTCTCTATCACTCTCTGTCACTCTCTGTCACTCTCTCTAGAGTGCTATGTCGCCTACTTAATATAGGCCTGGAAGAGTCTATTGTGTAGGTAGTTTCCGGTCTCATAATACTTTCACAAAGCGTATTTGTACCTGTGAATATATCGAACCCGACAGGAATTGGAAGAAGAAAAATAAGGAAGAGGAGAAGGAAAAAGAAGGAGGAGAAGCAGGAGGAGAAGGAAGAAGAAGAAGCAGCATAGGATGAGAAGAGGGGGAGGAAAACTAGGAGGAGGAGGAAGGAGGTGGAGAAGGAGTGGGAGGAGGTGGCGGATTAGAAGGAGACGAAGAAGAAGAAGGAAGAGGAGGTGATACAAAGCCGAAAATATGATCAACTCAGCGAGAATATGATCAACCCAGGAGAAGAAAGCGAAGAAGAAGAAGGATGAGGAAGAGGAGGAGGTGGAGGAGGAGATGGAGACGAAGAAGAATAATAAGAAGAGGGCGGAGGAAAAGAAGAAGAAAGTGAAGGAGAAAAAGAAGAAGAAGAATGAGGAGAAAGAAGAATCAGAAGAAAGAGGAAGGAGGTGGAGAAGAAGAAGAAAGAAAAGGAGGAGGTGGAAAAGAAGAAGGAGGTGGAGGAGGAGGAGGTGGAGGAGGAGGTGGTGGAAAAGAAGAAGGAAGAGGAGGTGGAGGAGGAGAAGCAGACGAAGAATCAGATGGTGAAGAATCAGAAGAAGAAGAAGAAGAAGACAGAGGAAGTGGAAAAGAAGAAGGAAGAAGAGATGGAGGAGAAGAGGACGAAGAATCAGAAGAAGAAGAAGAAGGAGGAAGTGGAAAAGAAGAAGGAAGAAGAGGTGGAGGAGAAGAGGACGAAGAATCAGAAGAAGAAGAAGAAGGAGGAAGTGGAAAAGAAGAAGGAAGAAGAGATGGAGGAGAAGGAGACGAAGAATCAGAAGAAGAAGAAGAAGAAGAAGAAAGAGGAAGTGCAAAAGAAGAAGGAAGAAGAGATGGAGGAGAAGGAGACGAAGAATCAGAAGAAGAAGAAGAAAGAGGAAGTGGAAAAGAAGAAGGAAGAAGAGGTGGAGGAGAAGAGGACGAAGAATCAGAAGAAGAAGAAGAAGGAGGAAGTGGAAAAGAAGAAGGAAGAAGAGGTGGAGGAGAAGAGGACGAAGAATCAGAAGAAGAAGAAGAAGGAGGAAGTGGAAAAGAAGAAGGAAGAAGAGATGGAGGAGAAGGAGACGAAGAATCAGAAGAATCAGAAGAAGAAGAAGAAGGAGGAAGTGGAAAAGAAGAATTAGAGGAAGAAGAAGAAGGAGGAGAAGGAAAGAAGACGAAGAATCAGAAGAAGAAGAAGAAGAAGAAGAAAAGAGGAAGTGGAAAAGAAGAAGGAAGAAGAGATGGAGGAGAAGAGAAGAATTGAAGAATCAAAAGAAGGAAGAAGAAGAAGAAAAGGAAGAAAAAAGAAGAAGAAGAAGAAGGAGGAAGTGGAAAAGGAGGAGAAGAGGGGACGAAGAATCAGAAGAAGAAGAAGAAGGAGGAAAGTGGAAAAGAAGAAGGAAGAAGAGATGGAGGAGAAGGAGACGAAGAATCAG